CTTCCCAAGATTAAAGCAATTTAATTTATATGACCCATAACTTAATATACCTTCATTTCTCGTTTATTTTCTTCGCCAGACCAATCCATTAATAAGTGGAATAAAACGAATCTTGCTGACATTTCCTTAGAGCTAAGAAAGTGGTATCCCTAGAAGATGCCTAGAAGGCCCTAGAAGCTCCTAGAAGATCACTAGAAGACCCTAGAAGACCCTAGAAGATCCCTAGAATACCCTACAAGACCCCAGAAAATTCTTAAAAGACCCTAGAAGACCCTAATTGATCTCTAGAAGACCCTAGAAGACCCCAGAAAATTCTTAGAAGACCCTAGAAGACCCTAATTGATCCCTAGAAGACCCCAGAAGATCTTAAAAGATCCCTAGAAGACCCTAGAAGATCCCTAAAATACCCTAGAAGACCCTAGAAGACCCTGGAAGACCCTGGAAAACCCTAGAAGATCCCTAAAATACCCTAGAAGATTCCTAGAAGACCCTAGAAGATCCCTAGAAGTCCCTATAAACCCTTAGAAGATCCCTAGAAAACCCTAGAAGATCCCTAAAAAAATACTTGGTCGAAAAGATCAAATAAGTCTGGAGGAAGAAGGAGCGATTATCTCGGCTGTCTTACCGAATTACAAAGCACACCGTGTAGGTGTACATTATTCATCGGTCTCGAAGTTCGCACACCTGTGGGTGACGATGTCTGACACGATGGCCACGTGTGTGCGCGTGTTTGATTATGTGAGAGCACAGTGTCTCCTCGGACGTAATTCATCGTAATACGAGTACACAGGCATGTGACAGGCTGACGTCATACGAGAATCTTATATCGCGGTCGATGTTTTGCTGCGTGTTTGCCTTTCGGAAATCCGAAAATCGCCCGCGAGGAGGAAATTAGTTAGAAAGATTTAAGGTGAAATGTAAACGGTATGCTTAGGTGTTGATTTATAGCCATTCAGCTTGATCAAATATTATTTAGAATTTCGCTCTGTTCACGTTACGCTCACGTTTCACCTCGACAAATAACTGACTAACGCCGGGATCTGGGGCGCCGTTGTAAACCCTACAATTGCGAAAATCGAGAAAAATTCTGCTTTTGTCGGAACATTTCTCGGATTGTTCTTGTCTCGTAGAGATAACCGTCCGAAAGTCGATGCAACGTGTTCATTACGGATATCGTTTCCCGATATCTTTCGATAATCTATTACATCAAGATCAATGATTCCAACAACTGACAACATTGACGTGCGCCGCTGAATATTTATTCTCTGATAAATTATTAATGAAGATTACATTTGATCCCGTATCTTCGTTATTTATGATCACTTGTATTTCATAATGAACGTAAATTTCTCACTCGTTTCGATTTGCACGTTATAACTTTGTAAATTTATTACTTTTTATATACCCTACATATGAGCAAAGTTTGAATGAAATCGGTGTTGCATGTGTCGTGTTCTTCACTTATATCAAGACAAGCTCACTAACAATCTTGAGCATTCAGCTTTTGTAGTAAAGTTACTACTTTCAAAATCTCCTACAAATGTGCAAAGTTTGAATGAAATCGGTGTTGCATATGTCGTGCACTTCACTTATATCAAGACAAACTTACTAAAAATCTAAAGTCTCCATCTTCAGCAGATTTCAAAAATATTTTTCTACGTACATGTATAGAGAAAATCGAAAATTTTTTAAGTGCACAATTCACATATAATATCAGCTAATACCTGCCTAAATACGGAAGACGATTATGTCACGCAGGTAGGTTTACCAGTGGTCAGTATAGCAATAACGGCGTGCTCGTGACTCGGTAACGTCCCATCCAAGATAAATCGCGCTTTTAGCTGTTTGTTTACGAGCAGGCCGTTATCGGTTGCTCGAGGTGAATCACTTTGCGTGCAGTTGTATCGGAAGCCCGAGGTTGAACCGGGAGTTCACGCGATTACGTAAGCGAAATGTGCGGAATCAAGCTGTTTGAGGACGCATACGTGACACTTGGGGCGTCGTCACGCTAAGGAAATGGTGAAACGTGATTAACGAAGAATAAAAAGGCGACTGGGAGGGGAAGGAAAATCTACGCGTTGTTACGTGTGACTGTTCGAAAGTGTAATGGGGGCTTATCATGTTTTCGTGTTTTCTGATTTGAGCCACTTGTGCGTTGAATTGTGTGGAATTACTACGTGTAGAATTACATGTCGAACTCCTACGCGCAGAATTGCTACGTGTCGAATTGACATGAGTCGAATTCGTACGTGTGGGATTTTGGCGCGTGGAATTCCGTCGCATCGAATTTCAACGCGCTGAATTCCTAGGTATCGAATTTCCACGCGTCGAATTTTGGCGCATCGAATTTCCGCGTATCAAATTCCCACGCGTGGAATTCCAACGTATCGAATTTCCACGCGTCGAATTTTGGCGCATGGAATTCCCACGTCCCGAATTCCTACGTCCCGAATTCCCATGCGCCAAATTTCCACGCGTGGAATTCTCGCGTCCCGAATTCCCACGCTCCGAATTCCCACGCCCCGAATTCCCACGTCCCGAATTCCCATGCGCCAAATTTCCACGCGTGGAATTCTCGCGTCCCGAATTCCCACGCTCCGAATTCCCACGCCCCGAATTCCCACGTCCCGAATTCCCATGCGCCAAATTTCCACGCGTGGAATTCTCGCGTCCCGAATTCCCACGCTCCGAATTCCCACGCCCCGAATTCCCACGTCCCGAATTCCCATGCGCCAAATTTCCACGCGTGGAATTCTCGCGTCCCGAATTCCCACGCTCCGAATTCCCACGCCCCGAATTCCCACGTCCCGAATTCCCATGCGCCAAATTTCCACGCGTGGAATTCTCGCGTCCCGAATTCCCACGCTCCGAATTCCCACGCCCCGAATTCCCACGTCCCGAATTCCCATGCGCCAAATTTCCACGCGTGGAATTCTCGCGTTCCGAATTCCCATGCGCCGAATTACCACGCGTGGAATTCCCACGTCCTGAATTCCCACGCTCCGAATTCCCACGCCCCGAATTCCCACGTCCCGAATTCCCACGTCCCGAATTTCCACGCGTGGAATTCCCATGCGCCGAATTTCTATGCGTGGAATTCTCACGTCCCGAATTCCCATGCGCCAAATTTCCACGCGTGGAATTCCCACGTCCCGAATTCCTATGCGCCGAATTACTACGCGTGGAATTCCCACGTCCCGAATTCCAACGCACCAAATCTCCAAGCCCTGAATTCCGATTCGTCGAATTACCACGTGTCAAAACCCTACTTGTCCCACCACCACATGTTGCATTACCACGCCCTGTAATTCGAAATATTGTATCATACTACATCACCTGATACGTTCTCCCATTAAACAACGCATATTAAATCCTCCCTATACCACATGTCCCTCCGTATTTAATCTACTTATACAAAATACGTGAAGTGCGCATTTGTCTAGCACTGTAATTAACCTTTAGAATTTCGCATGCAACATATCCATTATTTCCGCCATACTTTCTGACGTAGTTTGCAGCATGTTGGCGGTTGCACCATCAGTTACAAGATGATACCATCGATCACGAAACAGGCAAGTAGTAGAGGGATCGATAGACCACGTAGGAGGTTGATCTTTCGATGGTCGTTTGCTCGGCGCGAAGCATCTCCGGAGGACAGCATTTGCTCGTGGGGACGATTCGTCAGGATCACGTCTCGGATCGCGCCACCGGATCGCGTATCGTTTGTTGCTCTTCGATAATAGATGTTCTCCAAGCACGGTAATCGTTGCGGTAGCTCGCGCTATCGATTCCTCCGACCCGCCGAAGAATTTAATACCGGCTTGATCCACCTGATTAATAATTCCGTGGTCGAAGCGTTAGAGAAATAAGGGAAGTGCGGTATCGATCAGTAGCGTTCGTTTACAATCTCGAACGTGAGATTTGGTGAGATGAAACTGTGTTGGAGAGAATCGGGAGGATCTGGTTGCGGGAGATGTATGAGATTTTGGTCGAATTTTGTTATATAAGAATAAAGTACTATAGTGGTGCTATAGTGAGAATTCGATGAGTATGGGATTTGATGTGATGGAGTTCAATGCGTGGGAATTCGATGTGAAGGATTTTGACGCGTAAGAATTCCACGCATGAGATTTCTATACGTAAGAATTCCATGCGTAGTAATTCAGCGTGTAAGAATTTAACGCATGGGAATTCGACGCGTAGGAGTTTGATACGCTGGAATTCGGTGCGTAGGAATTCGATACGTTGAAGTTCTACGCGCCGAAATTTGATACCTAGGAATTCAAAGCGTCGAAATTCGATACGTTGAAATTCTACGCGCCGAAATTCGATACGTAGGAATTCGACGCTTTGAAATTTGATACCTAGGAATTCAACGCGTTGGAATTCGATACGTTGAAATTCTACGCGCCGAAATTCGATACGTAGGAATTCGACGCTTTGAAATTTGATACCTAGGAATTCGACGCGTCGAAATTCGATGCGTTGAAGTTCTACGCCCCGAAATTCGATACGTAGGAATTCGACGCTTTGAAATTTGATACCTAGGAATTCGACGCGTCGAAATTCGATGCGTTGAAGTTCTACGCCCCGAAATTCGATACGTAGGAATTCGACGCTTTGAAATTTGATACCTAGGAATTCGACGCGTCGAAATTCGATGCGTTGAAGTTCTACGCCCCGAAATTCGATACGTAGGAATTCGACGCTTTGAAATTTGATACCTAGGAATTCGACGCGTCGAAATTCGATACGTTGAAATTCTACGCGCCGAAATTCGATACGTAGGAATTCGACGCATCGAAATTCGATACATTGAAGTTCTACGCGCCGAAATTCGATACGTAGGAATTCGACGCTTTGAAATTCGATACCTAGGAATTCAAAGCGTCGAAATTCGATACGTAGGAATTCGACGCTTTGAAATTTGATACCTAGGAATTCGACGCGTCGAAATTCGATGCGTTGAAGTTCTACGCCCCGAAATTCGATACGTAGGAACTCGACGCGATTGAAATTCGATGCGTCGAAATTCTACACGCCGATATTCGATACCTCGGAGTTCTACGCGCAAATATTGGACCAAGAGATTTATAATCTACCAAGTGTACAAACTCTCCGCATAAACATATCAAATTTATTAATTCAACACCCAAAAAGTCACTACATAATCCAACCCATAGATTACAATAATAAAACTGAAAGTACCTCTACTCCTTCATATTATCACACGAGCCCCGAGCGCAGGTAGTTATCGAGCGCCTCCCACCGCAAACATCGCAACCCGATAAAATTCTACACACACCAAAGTTCCTACTCCGTTAACACTATCTCGACAGCAATTTCCGTCGACGATTCTCAGCTTCTCTATCGTTTATTCGCAATTATTAATTCAACAGCCGTTAATTCGTTCGGTCTGTTCGGTCTGTAAGGTCGTCTCCAGGATCGATCGTCCCTGATAGAAGCATGAATCTTTAAGGCCACTCTCGTCGATTTCCGTGCATCGGATGTGCGTTAAAAATAGGAGAGTAATGGTCCCGGTGTGACAAAGCTCGGTAAAGTTTATAAAAGATGTCCAGCTGCGGGTAGCCGGTGAAAGACAAACGTGACTTTTCGTTCCTGAATTCTCCAACTTTCTCGCTTTCTAAAGGTACGTCACGACGAATCGAATAAAGATGAAGACCCTGGATAGTAACGAATTCAGTACACTCGTTAATTTCGTTCGGTTTTGCCTTTGTCCGCCTGGAAATTCAAAGAGGACTCAAAAATAGTGTCGTTTGAACCTTTTATGAAAACTTTAATACAGTTTCGTGTTAATTATATTGTTAGGGTAGTTTTAGGGATATTTAGGGAAGTTTCTAAGTTTGGTGTATGTACTGCAAGGGTTTTATGGGTGTTTTTACTCTCAGATTTCTGTATTTTTATTTCTCAAGGTTTCTGTTTGTGTAAATTTCTATAGTTAGATCTTTTATATTCCTAGATGTCCACGTCTTGAGATCTCTATATCCCTAGGTTCCTATATTCTCTAGATCTCCACGTCTTGAGATCTCTACATCCCTAGGTTCCCATATTCTCTAGATCTCCACGTCTTGAGATCTCTATATCCCTAGATTCCCCTATTCTCTAGATCTCCACGTCTTGAGATCTCTATATCCCTAGATTCCCCTATTCTCTAGATCTCCACGTCTTGAGATCTCTATATCCCTAGATTCCCATATTCTCTAGATCTCCACGTCTTGAGATCTCTATATCCCTAGGTTCCTATATTCTCTAGATCTCCACGTCTTGAGATCTCTACATCCCTAGGTTCCCATATTCTCTAGATCTCCACGTCTTGAGATCTCTATATCCCTAGATTCCCCTATTCTCTAGATCTCCACGTCTTGAGATTTCTATATCCCTAGGTTCCCCTATTCTCTAGATCTCCACGTCTTGAGATCTCTATATCCCTAGATTCCCATATTCTCTAGATCTCCACATCCTCAGGTGTCCTTACACCTAATATCCTCACTCTTACTTCTCTATACTCCCAGATTTCCAAGTTTCCAAATTCTCCCACAAGACCTAAGTTTCTAAAGTAAGATCTAGTCTTTAAATCCCTATACCCCCTACTCCCAAATCCCCCAAATCATTCTATCCTCAGATTCCTTAATAGTACACAGTATGTCCTCACTCACACAGCAGATCAAAAATAATTTTCGTGTCCCACCAAAACTAATTTCGTCACATTTCATATTTAACCCAACGTAACTGAAAGAACAGAAAATTTTAAGTCAATATTAGTTTCGTAAAATGGCAACGTTTGACTTGCAAATGAACCAGGTTTTCATGCGTCTTTCATTAGATATTCAAGGTCAGTTTGCATCTTCATCATAGTACCATTTGAATGAACGAAACAACTGATCAACGACGAGGCGTCATAATGTTTCTTGTTCTTCTGGTTTCTCCTTTTAACTTCGCACAGCTAACTTTAGCAATTGTGGCCATCCGCGAGCATGATAGATACAGGTGTGTTTTACATTTGATACATGATCTCATTCGTTTTGAACGTCTGTCTGTTGCTCCGCCGTTGCGCAATATCGGTGTTTGTTACTGGTAATAATTTACTTCGTGTAATAATTTCTTCAAGTTTAATTTGCTAATTGTCGTCAATTAGAGGTGGAGGTCAAAGACCTCTGTGAGGTATTCAAAGCTAGAAAAATTTAACTCTTTGATTACGTTTGATTTTTAGTCAAATACTTTCACAGTGATATTCACATATGTATATTCGTAGGGATATTCACATGTGTATATTCACAGGGATATTCACATATGTATATTCACAGGGATATTCACAGGGATATTCACATATGTATATTTACATATGTATATTCACATATGTATATTCACAGGGATATTCACATATGTTACGTATATTCACAGGGATATTCACATATGTTACGTATATTCACAGGGATATTCACATATGTTACGTATATTCACATATGTATGTATATTTACATATGTATAGTCACAGGGATATTCACATATGTATATTCATAGGGATATTCACATATGTATATTCACAGGGATATTCACATATGTATGTATATTCACATATGTATATTCACAGGGATATTCACATATGTATTCGACCATCTTGAAGACATGTGTACATATATCCACACATGTGTGTGCGTCCTTGAGGTCCCTAGTTTCAGCAAATCCTTGTCACTATTTTTTACTCTAATAACTGACAATAGAAACTTGTCTATCGCTCATACTACTCTTGTCTATCGTGACTATCGGTCATTCACCGGAACCTAAGGTGACAGCAACCTTGAAGATCTAATCGTTCAAGTACCCTCGTCACCCATCGAACCATCGTTACGTCATCGTTCCCAATCGTGAACAACTGTTCAACCCGCAATTCTTTAGCTTTTCAACATTTCAGCGGAGGAATAATACGCCGGGCTAAAGCATGTGCTGTCGGTGCCAATGGTATTGCACCGAGTGTGCCAGCCTGTCAGCCGTTCGTAACGCGAACACAGCTCTGCGTTTCTGCTTTTTAAATATACCGGCCGAACTCTCTCGGCTTCCCAGTATTACGTCGTCGACTGACCACGGCGCACGTCTTGCAACCCGCATCAATCGATTCCGATCGGATTTTACCACGATATCTATCGAGTTCTTATCGGCCGCGTCGATTTCACGCTACTCTGCGCGCTTGTCCGATACTCTGGTGCTTTTGTGTGACTCATCTATATTAACTCCTCGTGATCGTTCTCGTAACTTTTGATCGCGGTAACCTGTCATTTTTGCAGATTTTTGCAGTTTCATTTTTGGTGCACGGTGCTTTGACTCAGGTAAAGTTATTTATGTAGATATAGCTCAATTACTTGCAATATATTTTTAATTTTGCTTTGTTAGTTGATGTAGCTGATAGTTAGAATGTTTGCTGGTTTTGTTTGGAGGACACTTGTTGCGTAAATTGAGACATCAGTGCTCTTGAGGCATCACTGATGGTCCACGCTTAAGGTGCCGGTCACTTGTGATAATATTTGAAACACGAACTTCCAAAATTTAGAGTATGGTAATCACAAAACTTGAAGTAGCTGTGACCCTCTACCTAATTTGAAATGCTGAACCGTCTGGTCAAATTTGGATACCAAATATCAGTGATCCATATAAAATTTAGAGCCCTGGTATTCAATAGCCAGTCACATATTAATAACCCCTATGAAATTTGAATCTTCAGACATTTGCATAATTTGAGAATTGTTCAATCCTTCAAACTGAAGACGTTCACTGAAAATTATTATCCTAATTCAGTACTGACTTCTAAAGTTGAGGAAATATTGCTGATAACTTCAATTATCAGCTGTACTTATCAGATAACTTACAAAGCTTGAAGTGTCAAATGTGACCAAACTAGAAAACCATTCCACAAAATGTCGTCATCAGTAATCCCCATATACTCCATAATCCCCACTAGTCCATATCAATTCTGAAATCTACCTATGCAATAATTAATACCTAATATCCATTGCAAATACCTCGCATTATTACCACCATATCAACGTTATTCAAAGTCTTGTCTTAAATCATATCTTAGAGGCGCCAGTGACCCCCACTGCAGTCTCCGCGCCGTATTAATAGACGGAAGAAGTCTCGGGAGTATATTGTAGATATTGCAACCGCAATGATTTAGAATCGAGCTTTACTATCGTGGGTCCACGTATCTCGATCTTGGTGTATTTGACCACGTCTAAAGGCCAGCTGCGAAAACATTCGAATATTCTGGCTGGGAGTATGCTCGATGTTTCAGTGGCTCGTAAATTCGCGTGCCAAGTATTAAAGTTTGTCGATGAGATGGTGGCGTGGCACGTGGTCGATGTAATAAAATGGTTTGTTGAAAGGTGGATTGGTGGATTGGTGGATTGGTGGATTGGTGGATTGGTGGATTGGTGGATTGGTGGATTGGTGGATTGGTGGATTGGTGGATTGGTGGATTGGTAGATTGGTAGATTAGGAGATTGGTAGATTGGTGGATTAGGAGATTGGTAGATTGGTAGATTGGTAGATTGGCAGATTGGTGGATTGGTAGATTGGTAGATTGGCAGATTGGTGGATTGGTGGATTGGTGGATTGGTGGATTGGTGGATTGGTAGATTGGTAGATTGGTGGATTGGTGGGTTGATAGATTGGTAGATTGGTAGATTGGTGTATTGGTGGATTGGTGGATTGGTGGATTGGTGGATTGGTAGATTGGTAGATTGGTGTATTGGTGGGTTGATAGATTGGTAGATTGGTGGATTGGTGGGTTGATAGATTGGTGGATTGGTCGATTGGTCGATTGGTCGATTGGTCGATTGGTCGATTGGTCGATTGGTCGATTGGTCGATTGGTCGATTGGTCGATTGGTCGATTGGTAGATATACATATTGGTACATTAATAAATTGGTAGATGTACATATTACTCCATTGTTATATGAGTAGATATACACATTGGCACATTAGTACACTGGTAGATTGATAGATTGATAGATTGATAGACTTGTAGACAGATTGATAGATTGATAGACTTGTAGACAGATTTATAGATTGACAGATTGATAGACTGGTAGACAGATTGATAGATTGATAGACTGGTAAACAGATTGATAGGTTGGTAGATTAGCAGATTGGTAGATTAAAAACATTAAAAACTATAGTTTGATAAAATTCATAATATAATAACGCCGGCATTTTGTGCTTCGGCAGCTTGACACTTTGATAATTTTATAAATTGATAAATTGACAACCTCATAATCTAAAAGCTCGTATCAAACTTGATACCCCATTCAAAAAAGACCCGCAGTTACCAAAATTGCATGAATAAAATCAAAGTTCAAAGTGGAAAAAAAAGTCGACTTCCTGTTCGACGTTAAAGAAGTCAAAGTTTCGTTACGCTAGAGGAATCGTTACATAAAGAACGCGAGTCTTCCAGCGGCAAGGAATAATCGAACTCTCGACTTTGTTCGACGAGAAACGCGCTTCACTCGAACACTTTCAACGAGGCAACAAGACTCGGTCTCGCGACGCCGGTCTTTTCCGTTCGAAAGAGCAACGGAAACGGCACGACGATGGCCATTAGCCTAATGGAAATCGGCTCGCGGCGATTCCGAGTGAGAGCCGCTCGCGCGACGTCGCTCGGCGTTCCCGCGATTTGTCGCGAGCGTCTCGCTATTTATCGCCCGAGCCGATTTCCTCGCGGCAAATGGATCGCGAGGCGTGGAAATGCGATTTTTCCACGAGGACCTACCTCAGGTAAAAGGTTCTTTGTTGCCTGCGAAAATAACTCGCTAAAAGCGTTTCCCGATAAATACGCTTCCACGTTTCGGGTTAAGGAATCGACTTGACGCTTATGATCGCATTTACATATCTTTCGACGGTTTGTGATAACTCAACGCGAATGGTTTGTTGGTCTTTGACTAGGTTAATTAGTTAGGTTATAGGTTCTTTAGGATTAGACTCAAATGTAGACTGGAATGATTTGTAAGAAGCTGTTTTGATAGATGGATGTCTTGTGATGTTTTGTGATGTCTTGTGACTGAACAGGAACCGTTAACTTTATGTGAACTTAACAGGAACAGTTAACTTGATGTGAACTTAACAGGAATTATGTGGCAGACCGAAGTATACGGTTGAATAATTCCAAAGAAGTTTAGGATAAGATTAAAATGTTCACTTGAATAATTTACATCAAGTCTAGGAGGAAACTCAAATGTTCATATGAATAATTTTCGACAAGTTTATGATCAGACTCAAATGTGAACATGAATAGTACTCAACAAGTTTAGGATCAGACTATAATGTCCACATGAATAATTCACATCAAGTTTGGGATCAGAGTAAAATGTCTACTTGGATAATTTTTAAGAAGACCAAGACCAGACTCAAATGTCCACATGAGTACCTTACAAGTTTAGGATCAGACTCAAATGTGAACATGAATAGTACTCAACATGTCTAGGATCAGACTATAATGTCCACATGATTAATTCACATCAAGTTTGGGATCAGAGTAAAATGTCTACTTGGATAATTTTTAAGAAGACCAAGATTAGATTCAAATGTCCACATGAATAGTACCCTACAAGTTTAGGATCAGACTCAAATGTCCACTTACATAATTCCCAACTAGCTTATTTGTATCCTCCACATTTGTGAACGTCTGTTGATATGTGGACCTCTTTTGATACGTGAACCTCTTTTGATGTGATTAGAAGAATGTTTGCAAAACTTATTAAAAATTATTTTACAAACTAAAATGTCCACTTGAATAATTTCCAACTAGCTTATTCGCATCCTCCACTTTTGTGAAACTTCATACGTGGACCTCTTTTGATACGTGGACCTCTTTTGATACATGAACCTCTTTTGACACGTGAACCTTGACATAATTAGAACATATCCAAAACATATTAAAAATTATTTTACAGTCTAAAATGTCCATTCAAATAATTCCCCAACTACATTTTCATCCTCAATTTTTGTGAACCTCTCTGCGATTAGACGTTCAAACTTTCCAGAAATAATTCTGCTGTAATCCTAATTTCTCCAGCCTAGAATCTAGCGAACCAGTCTGACGCGTGTGTTTGAGTGAATTAACGAGAACGAGTCCAGTTTCCCCTTCCCCTCTCCACTCTTCCTGTTTTTTTCTATTCCCATCTTTTTGATACCCTCTTCCTATGAAACCTTGCTTTGTTTACCTTGCCAAGTTTTTTACGCTTCTCCCTTTCCTTTGTACGCAGAATTGAAGACCTAGGAGAAAGTGTGCTCAGCGAGGCTTCAACTTTGTGAAGGTCACAGTTCGCTGTAGGAAACGATCTTGATCGCGTCGGTGCTCGTTCGGTGAAATTCGTGAATGTCGAAATTAGTGTTGTGAATGAAGTTTCTATTTCTTTTGCGCAGGAATAGTGGAGGACGTGGACATTGGGAGTGTTCAGGAATGAGATTGCATGTGTGTTGAACGAGTAGCAAGAAGTTATAGGTAAGTTTATGTTTATTTGTTCTTTTAATGGATAGGAGAATAATTTTAATTAAATTGCAAATTTTAATAGAAATTATAGACTTGACAACTAGAAATCAAAAGGGTCTAACAAAGATGAACTCATGTTACTTGTTTGTTCTTTCAAATATGTATAGCAGCACAATTTTAATTAAGTCTCAAATTTTAATAGAGATTATAGACTTGACAACTAAAAATCAAAAGGGTCTAACAAAGACGAACTCATGTTACTTGTTTGTTCTTCCAAATATGGATAGCAGTATAATTTTAATTAAATTGCAAATTTTAATAGAAATTATAGACTTGACAACTAAAAATCAAAAGGGTCTAACAAAGATGAACTCATGTTATTTGTTTGTTTTTCCAAATATGTATAGCAGCACAATTTTAATTAAGTCTCAAATTTTAATAGAAATTATAGACTTGACAACTAGAAATTATAGTTGTATTTTAATAGTTGTTCATTGACCTTGAAATGATGTTCGTAACAATTTCAAGACCAACCTTTCTTATTAATACTAGTCACTGAATGTGCAGACTATATGTCTTTGCTAGATGATATAATCGTATAAAGTTACATCACCTATTTCTTGCTATCTTTGATAGCAATCAAAATCACTTCTAAAAGTCTGTCTAAAGATTTTAGATACTTGACGTAGAACCGTGACTAATATAATTGAATCTCAGAAACTTTATTTAACTTGTCTATTATTAACTCTCTACAAAAATATCGATAGAATTAATTAATCGAATTAATTACATCATCACATGTTTCTCAAACCCTCCATTTTGTGTATATAGTCAACGAACTATCAACTTGTCCCATAATTATCAAGTGACCATATATTAAATTTCATGAATGTTTTAATTAGTTCTCGAAAACCATGGATAAGTTTGAACTACCAACAATAATTGCCCTCCAATTTAGATCGATAATTAATTTCGGTAATTAACGTCGTATAACTTCTCTTCAACACTCTTTTGGAGTTCGAGAACGGGAACAGGTTCGGGGAATGACGCATTGCTCACTGTTTTTCCCTCTTATTTCCCAACTATTCGACCGGAAGGAAAATTTCCTGATTGACTGTGAATAGATAGCTATATCCTAAAAAATTTCAGAGTACCTTTCTCAATTGTTAGGTTTTTCAAGATTTCAATTTTTTAGATTTCTAAATCGTGAAGTTTGCAAATAGGTATGTTTTGATATTTCTGGGTTCGTAGGTTCATGAATATTAGGATCTTCAAAATTATGTAGTTTCAAATTTCTAAGGTGTTGAAAATCTAGATCATTGAATCCTTATATGTCCAAATTTGCAAGCTCCTAGATTTCCAATTTCCTAGATCCCCAAATTCAAAGCTTCCCAAATTCCAAGCTTCCTAAATCCCAAGCTTACCAAATCCCAAGCTCTCCAAATTCCAAGCTTCCTAAATCCCAAGCTTCCCAAATTCCAAGCTTCCCAAATCCCATGCTCCCCAAATCCCAAGCTTATCAAATCCCAAGCTCCCTAACTCCCAAGCTTCCCAAATCCCAAGCTTCCCAAATCCCAAGCTCCCCAAATCCCAAGATCCCCAAATCTCAAGCTTCCAAAATCCCAAGATCCCCAAATCCCAAGCTTCTCAAATCCCAACCTCCCCAAATTCCAAGCTTCCCAAATCCCAAACTCCCCAAATTCCAAGCTTTCCAAATCCCAAGCTCCCTGATTCCCAAGCTTCCCAAATCCCAAGCTCCCCAAATCTCAAGTTTCCCAACTCCCAAGCTTCCCAAATCCCAAGCTTCCCAACTCCCAAGCTTCCCAAATCCCAAGCTTCCCAAATCCCAAGCTTCCCGAATCCCAAGCTTCCCAAATCCCAAGCTTCCCAAATTCCAAGACCCCCAAATCCCTAGCCTCCAAATCCCAAATTTCCCAAATTCGTAGACCCTCCAATCCCTAAGATCCCCAAGTACCTACCTTCCCAAATTCCTATTTCCCCAAATCCCCAGTCCCCTAATCCCTAATCTCCCCATCCACAAATCCCCAATTTCCTACACCTCCTTTCTAGCTAAATTTCTAATTCCAACTTCTCCCATCTTAACCCTTGAAAAATTCATAAAAATCTACCAGCAATCCACTTACCAGTGTCCCCAGACCCGTTACGTTTCGCAGCGACCGCACATTTGATCTTGACTGTACGTACGGCACGTATCACGCGTGCGAATCGCTCGATTCCTTTGTACGAAACGAACGAACCCACGGATCTCATTATACTCGCAAATTCGTTCGATCGCTAGACACGAATTCCAGGAGGAAACGTTCGGATATTAGCCATTAGCATCGAGAACGCGATCGGTCGATCTAATTTCAGACCGCTCGGATTATTCCTGTCGCGCGATTTTCGTTGAACGCCGACCGGAAACCCCCGTGGAAATGCACGGGAACGCTTCGGAAAATCTTCCGCGTCAACGGTGATTCGTTCTCGACGTTTCCATTTGGATTAGGGAACGAAAGGGAAGGAAAAGGAAACGCGTACGACGATGATGTTCCCAGGAAAATGGTATTAGTTTCACTGTTTATGACGTTGCCGAGGTACTGCAAGAAACGGAGGGCTAATAGCCGTACATATTTATTCTATGCTCTCTACGTGACGTTACATGCGACTTCAGCTGCTTTTATACACAATTTTACTTTTCTTGAAAATCCTTAGAAGAGAAGCTGGGAGGACGTTTCGATGTGGAAATATAACAGGTTATTATCTTCGTTGTTGCTTTACATTTATTTCAATTTTAATGTAAAGGTTTGCAAGGTTTATTTGAAAAGAATATCTTGCTTCAACCCTTGGCTGAGTCAGACAGTTCAAAGTTGACAAACTTAAATCTGCACAGAAAGTAATTTTGAGATCAGTACTGTTTACATGTGTACAAGTTTGATAAATGCAAAATGTATTTAATATATCGAGTTTGTTCATTTATTTTAATATTGCAGTAATATTTAGCTAACTGCTGAGAAAATCGTAGATTAAGGGGTTGCTTGTGGAAATATAATAAGTTATTATCTTCGTTGTTGCTTTACATTTATTTCAATTTTAATGCACAGGTTTGCAAGGTTTATTTGAGAAGAATATCTTGCTTCAACCCTTGGCTGAGTCAGACAGTTCAAAGTTGACAAACTTAAATCTGCACAGAAAGTAATTTTGAGATCAGTACTGTTTACATGTGTACAAGGTTAATAAATGCAAAATGTTAACATATCAAGTTTGTTAATTAGTTTAATATTGCAGTAATATTTAGCTAGCTTCTGAGAAAATCGTAGATTAAGATGTTTGCTTGTATAAATATAAAAATTAGAATGGCTTAAATAGAACGGTCAGAGTATTGTGAAATAGTTAAATAATAGAATAGCAGTATAATAATATAACACAATAGTAAACTAGTTAAATAGAGTACTCATCAGCGCCAAATCTCGTCACGTGACTATCAAGTATACTCATCGATACTAAAAAGTAAAATCATTTCTACGAAGAAATACAAATGTTGACTTCAGATGTCAATTCCACCTATTTGACAGACCCGGCCATTTTGTCGAGCATGCCATAACACGTGCACACACATCCCCTCCCCTAATGTACCTATAACACATCTACATGTATGTCCAAACCTATAAGACATATGTTCAAAGACATCCATCACACATTCCTATCCCCAGCCAACTTCAGTGCACTTAAAAATACAAAATAGCATCAGACATTCTAAACACAGTCTACTATAGCACTAGTAAATCACTATCAATCCACAACCGTTTCTGGCAACAGGTTTTCAGGTTCGCGACCCACGCGTCCTATCTCCAACAGGTTTCAGCGTGAAATCGAGACCTGTTTCTTATCCTCCTCGCAGGGATCGAGTAGTAGGCAAGCAGTTGTGGAAGCGGCATCGAAAGCGGTCGTAATGGCGCGTTCTCGAGTTCGAGTTCAAGATCGTCGCCAAACGGGCCGACCAGTCTGCGTGCCGAGTGTAAAAATAGTCTGAACGTTCGTCCAAGAAGCCTCGACTTTGAGATTGTCTTTCGGTGCGTCACTTGTTCTCTCACCTGTCCGGGTTCGAGGAATCTCCCGAGGGACCTATCGCCGGAGATCAGCAGACTTTTCAAGGTAGAGCTTGTTGATCGTTGGGGTTTCGGATGACGGGAATTTATGGGGCTTGCGATTTAGGTAAATGGAGGAAAGAAGGAAAATCGAAATTCTTATCGCGGTGATTACTGTTTTGGGGCTGGATCTTATTTCATGGTAGTATAGGATACTTTTATTTGATGGGGATTTCGGATTTTTTTAAAGAATTCTTAGAATGTATAGGCATTTAGGGAGATTCAGATCTGGATTGGTACGTTCTTTATTTATATTTCACATCGATGCTGCAAATCCCTTTTTTGTAAAGGAGAAAGTTCAGAGTCACATTCTTTAATTGTGAAACACTGTATAATTATTAATACAAATTTATGAATGCAAGTTGCACAAGCTTCCAAACGTGAAGAAAATTATAAAATAAGGAATTAGTAGGTAAAAGATGCTACAGAATATAAATAAATATAACAAAAAACTTTTGCAAAATTCCTGATACTCAAAGGGGTGTAAAAATTAGAGAATAAAGTGATATCCAACTTCCCGCCCTATAACGCTTATCCATTCTTTCGCAAGCGCTTTTTGCCACCCCTGTTCCAAAAGTTTTCGCAATAATCGTCTATAAAAAGAGAGGCAACGAGCACATCTGACGCCATCAAAAAGTCCCTAATGCACGGCTGGAGAAACCCTGTTACCCTGCAGCCCCACTTCTGCTTTCGGGGATGAACAAAGACGCAGCGGATTTCTTTTGTCGATTCGCATTGCAAAAATTTCTCAATGCTGCTTCAAATTTTTCTGAGAAGCGAGCATTTACCTCTTAGGCACGAATAGGCTGCTTCTTTGTGGGCCTCTTCTTTATACTGTAGAGTTTGAATTATGTGTAAATAGGAATA